TACACTTCATGGTGAAATCGTACTGTTGGAGGCACCCAGGCCATCAAACAATTATAGGATTATGCATGTCCTGGAGGCTGTTTATCAGGTGTAGTGAAGTCTTATGGTTGCTTTGGGCAGCAAAATCAGGCTCAAATAAAGTGCCGATATTTTTCACTGTCCCACCATTCCGCATGTAGTTCCGTTTTCTGCAATAGATACAGCTTCTCAGAGCTCGTACGCAGCAATTTGTGCATGCAACAATAATTGGTCTGGCAGTAAGAAGTGGCGCGCTCATATTGGGGGGATGCTAGCATCGGAGAAGTTGCAATACGGTTGACAAATGCGCTTGCGGCGACATTGGCCTCCTATATATAGTCCATGAACTGCGTTTTCTCTAGTAAAATAAGTATATAAGCAGTACTTAGAGTAATCCAGTAAATGGAATATGAGTAGTAAGATGCAAACCCATAGAACTTCGCAACCTCTTTGTGGGTGCGTAAAACGCCACTCCTTTGTTGCCCGAACTCTTGCCGGATCTGTCGATTCCTGCAACATAATCCCGGAGTCCCAAAAGCACGATCTTGCACACGAGCCTGCGCACATGTGTGCCTTCTTGTAGCACTGCTTGTCCCCCAACAACTGAAGCGCGCCCCTTAGCCCCAGTGAGTGCCCTTGAACCGTCAGGTGATCACTAAGACTTTGTCCATGTAAACAACCATTCACCCCTCCTTGTTATGCTCACTTATCTCCTCAGTAGCTCACTGTTGCAGCTCAGCGGGAACATCTACAGGTTCAAGCGACATACAGCTATAGCCGAATTTGCGAGTGCCAATTTAGAACACCGTTTCGTGCCTGTCATCCGGGTGAATTGGGATTTGGAAGAGGGCGTGTATGAAGTCAGATGGTGAGTGGACGGTTGTTCTTTGTAGTTTGTCGAGCGATTTGCTAATGTTACACGGCAGGAACTCGTGCTTCACCTTGATGTGGCTCAAAGACTTGAAGCTAACTTACGTGCCCCCCTTCCGTTCTTCTTCAACACCAACATTGGGCTTGCCCAAAGATGCCGGTTCATTTCTCCAATTTAATTTTTCCTACAATTTCTCTGCCTTCAATCATTCTCCTCTTTGCACAATAAGGAATTCCGATTTTGTCGAGTTTAGGTTGGGGCGGAACCAACGATCAGCTCAATAAGGTGAGCTTGGCGACCAGCAAGTGGCCAGCCTTCAGGGAGCTTGTCTGTTTTGCAAAGTTGCAAAATCCCCCTTGGCATTTGTGCCTTCCTACAGGATCTCGCCTAGCCAATCAACCTAATTGCTTATTGAGGAGTCTGTTGCAGGGCTACTTAGGTGGGACGCATGCTCAGAACAGCCTTCTCTCACTGCTCTGCTGGCCAGCCCGCAAGAAGGCTCTGCCACACCGTATTGAGGTACTACCAAGATCACTGTACAGGAGCTTGGCACTGTTGGGAAGAAAGCAAGGTAGTTTTTCGTAGGGTTGCCCGTCACACCAACCTCCACAGCGCTCAGCTGCCGCCGTACGCGCGTCCCATTGGGTCACCCACGGCATGCGTGGGATTTCGCCATGGTAGACAGGTCAAATATATAAGTCAACGATCGCACAGATAGGACTGAATTCTATTGTGAAGTTCCATTTTGCTCCCGCATCCTTGTTGGTCCTTGCATCCTGCCGCCGGTCAGCAAGCCTGGGTCTTAGGGACTGCGCGAACGACTGGGCAGGGAACGCACTTTTGCGCCGTCTCCGGGGGTTACAGATCCACTTCTTATGGAGTGTCAAGCAGCTCTCAAAGCCCTTGACCATTAATGTGAGCCAGCATCAGCGCAGGTATGACCCATGTTGGGTCACCATGTATGGTTTTCTCTTCTTTAGCCCCCTCGTTGCACCCCCGACGGCCTGTGGGGCTTTCCGTTCTCAGGAGCCGCATTTTTTGTCTAGCGAGCAGCCTGATTTCACTGGATTCTGTCTCGCTTTAATGGTTTTGGTTTTTGCGTATGTGTGAAGTTCCAGAGTACATCGCCCAGTGTCCCACAGCAGAAGCAGGAGAGTTGTTGGGGGCTGTGTGGGGCTGATGAGGAAAGCGCGTCTGCTCTTCCTTTTATGGTAGGTGTATTTTAGACTAGAGGGTAAGGTAGTATGCCACAGCCCCGACATCTATAAATGCGAAGTCCTCTTTCGGCTCGCCTTTCCTAGCCGAAGACGTAAGAGCTGTACTCACTTGCTCTTTAAACCTGAAGTTGTCCATCATATGTGGAAGCCGTACTGGTCGGCTGTACATTTGCTGAGTGACTGCCTATTCTACGACCACCTGACGTGACCCCTCACGGAGACCTGAGCAAAACTACTGAGAAGGCAGCCGCTTCGTCAAAGATACGGCTTTTGAGACTCGCAGGGTCACATTTTCGGTACTCTGGTTGGTCAACAAAGTCCCCTGAACCAGCCTTCTCAATTCTTACAAGGCTTGCTGTAGTGCTATCGCAGCAAATACCGGTGAGTCAGGGCATGTATGGAGCCTTGAATTGTAGTAATCTCTGCAGGCAGACTAATTCCTCTGCATGCAAGGAGCTGCCAATTAGGCAGTTTTTTCCAATAAGCATGCAGAGCAAAGAACACTCGTCTTTTCCTTCTGTGGGGTACAGGGTGGGGTAGATTTCCAACCGGTTGGTGGAGGTTCCGTGTACTTGCGCAACCTGCCTGCTGTCGTGCTTCTAGCTTGTACAGCTCATCAACACATCCAAAAGCATCTTATCACCCTATAGCTAATAAATCCATACAAGCTGTAACGCTAGTGCATTCACCTGAGCTTCTAAATTGGTGCAAGTCGCCCCAATAGGACTTGGATCAACGTCCAAATTCATCCCCAGAGGGGTTTCCCCCCAGCGTCGTCAAAGTATCAGGCTGCTGAATCACCAAATGCCGTGATCGGAGCTAGAGTAGCAATTAAGGAACTTGAGAGCCCGATGCATCTAAGACCAGTGGATGATCAGGTAGCTACAATACAGTGCTAGCAATTCTAACGCTTTTTGAAAGGCTTCCATAGAGGGGCATTCACCTCTAGACTCAATTCAAAGTTCATAGGAGTCATAAATGATCCTTAAAGGAGCTCCTTTTCCCCTGCTGGTCCCTTTCACAAGTCCTGACATGAGTGAACAGGGATAAAAGGCTGCGCGTAGCTGCACCCTCTAATCGCTCTGAGCATGCACAGCAAGTTGCACAAAGCATCTGCTATAAACTCGCACAGCCTTATGACTTGCTGAATCACTCAAATAGTATTCTGCAACATGTTGGAGATGCGGGCAGACAAGCCAAGAAGTCCGATGTTATTAATTATTATTTAAATATTCCCGAGGGAGTCGAACTTGTCTAAGAGCAACTTAGCCCTCCTTCCTCGAGGCCGCTACCTCTGTGGCTTAAGGAGAGAACGCAGCTTTTATTTCAAGCTGTTTCTGGCGCTTGGTATCGGGATACTCTAGTGGAGCTCTGGGATGGTGTTCAAGGTAAGCAAGTGATCTGGACGAGCCTGCAGTAGAGCAGGCACCCCATAGTGCATTGTGCAGCTGTGCGACCCATGCATCACACATACCCAGCAATGTGGAGCACTGCCTCACCAGAGCAGTGGTACCTACGCTCACGTGTACGCAGTCGCTAGACAGACCTCGTCTACACTATTACCCTGCACTGTTGAAAAGCACGGAGACAGCAGGCGTCAGAATATGCTGCTAAACCCAGCACTTTTGGAGATGGTTCAAACAAGTTGCGAATGATTTTGTACTGTGAGCCTGATCGATTACGCGGCAGGCTGATGACGTGCACGCAATACTCTCAACAGCGCTGCAGCTGAGTGCTATGGGAAAGCTGTGTACGGTCCTTGCCACACGAGAGTCTCTTAAACTGGACAACATCAATAGTGCGGCCAAATAGGGATTATACTGGCATAAGCTAGTACAATCTTCATATGTCAATATTCTGGAAACTCTCCATGCCTTGGGACCTCTCAAAACTTCAAAGAAAATAAAGGCGAAAGGTGATAGATGGTCGATGAGCACACACCTCTACCAAAAGCTCCAGAAAGCTGACACATAATGTTTGAAATTCGGCGAAAGAGTTACTCGCTTAATAAGCACTGTGATTGAATTATTCAGAAAGAGGATTGGCCCTATTTTTCAGCACCGTTCACGATCATTATTGTTTGAGCGCAGCTTCCCCTACTCAGATCGCAGGCCACCAGCTCTGCGGTGCTCAGCTGAACTACTTTGTTCAATTTAAATTAGGACCTGCATAGTTACTTTCTAAAATAACGCAAAAACGCATACAAGCTGGTGATATCTGTTTTTCTGAATGCCTTTTGGAGCTTTTAAGGCTTGGGGTCTGTAACAAAGTATTACAGCAACAGGCCTCGTTGCCAGGGAGCTAATCAACAAACGCGAACTGCTCTCCCTCATTGATGCTCCAGATTCATAAAGCAAATGAGTGCATTTTTATCGTTAAAATTAGAGAGGCTTACGCTACGGGCTTGCCTCTTTGTAGCAAAGCAAGGCGAGCCACTGAGAACTGCCCACGACACAGAAGCAGCACTGTAACTCCAGCGTATCAGCCCCTCTTTTGAGAATATATTATGATGAAATCGGCACAATGGTAAACAGTAAAGAACTGGTGGGGGCACGGTTACGTGCCCATTATCCTCCGAGTTCAAAGGTCGCACGCGTGCTGTGTCGAGCTCCCAGTCCCGAGGAGCCGCTTGTTGGGGGTTGCCCCTGCACGCAGTAACAACGCCACTCCCTGCTCATTTTCTAGAATGCTTGGCCACTTTGGCTCCTGGTTTATTTACTTTCCACACTCCCAGATATCAGGGAGTGTTCGCTGGTTCACCTCCCCGACGCACCGCATCCCGTGGCCCCGCCAGCTTAGTCCTTCCCCTGAGCACAAGGCGTGGCCCCTTCCGTTTTCCCTCTTCTTAACTATCAAATACCTTTCTGGAGTATTGCGACTATTTGCGCTGCACGATGACCGAAGAGTCAGCTTCCGTGCCTTCTGCCCCGGGGGCGGAGGCCGCTCCCTCAGCCGACAAGAAAAAGAGGAAGGTGTCTAAGACCGCCACCAAGAAGCGTTCATCTTCTTCCACAAAGGCCAAGTCTACAAAGGGAAAGACCTCTAGCAGCAAGTCCAAGGAAAGCAGGTCTGCGCAGGACAAAGCAGACAAGCCCGAACGGTCCGAGACTGCCGAGGTTCCAGCAGAGGATGAACAGCAGCAGAACGATTCTACAAAAAACTTCGAGGCTGCAGCGGAGTCGCATATGGTGAGCTCCGAGCCGTCAGCGGGGACAGCTGTACAGGAACTTGAACGAGAGGCTTGCGAAGAGGAAGGCGAGCCGCTTTTGCCAATGGACGAAGACGGGAAGCAGCCAGAGGCTCCCGTGGAGTATCAGGAATCCAGAGAAAATGCTCATGAAGACGGTGAGAAAGAAAAGGTGAATGAAGAAGCGCTCAAGGAAGCGCAGGCGGAGAAGAAGGCTCCTCTCAATGCGAAGCCAGGCGAGGCGGGGGCAGCAGGCCCACGCCACCCTTCAGTGAAGCGACAACATATGCCATGGAGCTCTTCCCCACTTCTTGAGTGTATACCGAGAACATCTCTCAATGGGGTCTGCGGGGGCCCATGGAGGAGTTCTGCCTATTGCAGCTGGCTTCACGACACAGTCGGGTGCACCTGCAGGCGCGTTGCGGGGGGTCCTCTGCCCGAGAAGTGGGGAGCATTTTCTGATTTCTTAGCTGCTATTGATATTCGAGACACCGCGGACAAGAAGTCACGAGGGGAGCTGGACTTAGTTGGCACTAACAATGCAGATGAGGAGAAAGCTGCGAAAGAGGCCTTTGGAGAAGCGGAGAAGGACCCACAGCAGCAGGAAGAATATGCTTCACCAAACCCTCTAATGGTGGAAAAGCTTCTTTTGCTTCCCTGCAAAACTTTCCTATCTACCGCGTTCGCCCCCCAACTGCTACACTGCCGGCCCTTCTCGCCTATAGGGCTGCAGGAGCAGTTTGACGGGGCCCAAAGGCGCAGAGCTGGGTTAAGCAGGAGGTTCGCGCGCCTTGCTGCTGGTGCAGCACACACAAAGCCGACGGCGGCAGAGGACAAGCGGGAGGATCAGCAGGAGAAAAGTTCTGCAGAAAAGGATCAGCAGCAAGAGCAGCCCGAGCAGAGTCTCCCCGCTCGTCGCCCGCCTACATGCGGCTCTGAGTGTCTGATAGACGAGGGCCGTATGCGAATCCTGTCAGTCATAAATTTGTGCCTTACAGAGCGTCACTATGAGCCTCAGCTGCTCCGGCGGGATTGTTTGCCCGTGTTTTGGCATAAGAGCCAAGGGGGTGGAGAGGTTCCCACCCCCGAAAGTCTCCTTAACTATTTCAAGCTTTTGTCTCTCCTCACCATGCAAGGCATTCGTGTAGCTGAGCATTGGGCGGCTGCAGCGGACTGTGCCGTGTGCAATTCTGGGACTGGGGCGGCGACTCCGCAGAAGGGCAACTCGAGGGAAGAGGCATCCAAGGAGGTGACCCCGTGCACATGCAGCTGGCGTTTTACAGTCGTAACGCATTGCACTCATGGAGTGAACAGGACAGGATACATGGTATGCGCGCTGCTGATGGCGTTGTTGGGCCTCTCGGCAGCGGAAGCTCAGGGAGTTTTTAAGGCAGCGAGGGGGCATGCGATTCCTCGGGAGGAGATCATCGCTGCCCTGCAGCAATTGGAGAAAGAGGGAGTTTCTGAGGCTATGCGGGCGGCCCTTGCGGCCCCTGAGCTGCATCCAGTATATGCAGAGAATGCAGCAGCTGATGGCGTTGAATTGCAGAAGGGCAGCTGTTTTGTTCGTGTCGCCACGGCGGCAGCACCAACAGAAACTGGGAGGACCATTCCCATATCAGGTGGCTTTAAGAAGAGCCTCACGTCCTACAGGGAGTTGGAAAGGCAAAGGCTCATAAGGGCGAAGCAAGCTTCGCAGAACAGGGAGCAGAGGGAGCAAAAGCAACAGCAGCAACAGGAGTCAAAGGACGCCGCAGTGAAGGAAGAGGCGACAGGAGAAGCAGAGGGGGGGAACATCTGCGAGGCAAAGGGAGAATCTTCTGATGTCAAGGTAGAGGAAGCGCCGGGTGCAGTCACAGAGCAAACAGCAGCAGGGGCGGCTGAAGACGCCAAGGAGGTATTTTTGACGGAGGATGAAATGAAACAGCTGCCAGTTGTCCCATCAGAAGTCCCCAACAACGGTGTGGTTCTGTTTGGTCCTCTTTCCAATGCCTTGTTGGCCCCTGAGGAGCTGCTATTGTACCTACTAGACTTGCATCCTAATCTCCGTATGTGCGATTACCGCGTCCTTGCATCGTCCAATGTCAATCAGCATCTGGGATATCCCGCGACCAATAAGAAGACAGGTTTCAGGCGTCGCAGACGAGTGGGAGTCCCCAACAGAACGAGTGGGCCGAAAGCAGAGGATGAGGGGGAACCGGTACAACAACCGCCAGAGCAGGCGGAGGAACAGGCACCGCAGCAGGATGCAGTTGCCCCACAGCCCATGGAGAAACCTTTGGCGTATCACTACATCTTGTATGTGCAGGCGGCAGATCCTTTTTCGTTCGAAACTCTCGTAGCGTCCGAACTTGTCTCGCTCCGCAAGCAGCCCCTTCAGGCCTTCACTTTAGACTTCCTGCCGTATATCCTCGCACGAGGGAAAGAGCTCGATGCCGTCGCGCTCAACTGGTCCGTCCAGCATCCCCCCAGACCCAAGCGGGGGCCTCCACCGCTCCCACTGCCCTTTGGAGCTCCATTCCCCCCCCCAGGATTTGGGGGCCCTATTCCGCCGCCTCATCCGTGGATGGGGCCTGGAGGTTTTCGCAAGAGGGGTTCCGTGGATGTGGATGTCATTCCTCCTTTTATGCGCGGAAACGGCCGGTTCGGAGGACCGGCCGCTGATTGTGGAGGCAAGCCAGTAGCGCCCCCGCCCCCTCCCTTCTTCGGGGGGGGAGGCCAGTGGAGAGAACCACCTCCCCCTCCTCCCCCTTCCAAGAATGCAGGGGCATGGAAAGGCCCTGAGCCGCAAGTGATACCTCCGCACTTCCCGGTGCCAGGAGTTCCTGAGTTTCGCCCGGGGTATCCACAGGATGGCCCCCGCCAATTTGATGAGAGGAGCAAAGACCCGGGGGCTCGAGCATCTCGGCAGGGGCCCCCTCGAGACTTCTATGACGCGGTCCGACAGCAAACACCGACGCCTTCTGCGGGGGGCTCATGGAGAGCCCACAATCCACAGGGCTGGACGCCTTGTGTTCAGGGAGCTTTAGCAGGCGGACACGCTTTTCAGATGCCCAAGGACAACGCAGAGGGTGGGACCTGGGGCACCAACAACTGGGAAAGTTGCAGGCCCCAGGGGGCCTCAGATGGTTGGAACCAAGGGCCCCCTGGACCTGAGTGCGCAGGTACGTCCAAGCGCCGTAGGCCGAACGCGGATGGTGGCTTCAGTGGAGAATGGAATTCCCATTTGCCTGCTGGCAGATCCGGAGGAGAGTGGGGAGGCGCTGTGTGTAACAACTCCGCTGGAGCTTCTCAGTCGGAGTGGGGCGGCTCTGATAGACCTTTGGGGGCCCCTGGACGTGAGGCTTTTGGATGTTCTCGTGGCAGCGATTTCCAAGCTGGAGGCGCAATTCGGGGCTCTATGAATGGATTTAGTAACCAATGTTCTCCTCAGCACCGCGATGCTCAGCTTAGTAACCCCGGCGGTCCAGGTATGATGCAGCAGCAGCAGGGCTTTGGCAGCGTGCCCCAAACATTCTTGCAGCAGCAGCAGGGCTTCGGCAGCGTGCCCCAAACATTCTTGCAGCATCAGGCTGGAGGAAGCCCATGTCCTCCGGCTTATTCTTCCTCATCCCTTCCGCAAGGAGGGAACTCCGAGTTCAGTGCTGCGCAGCAGCAGCAATATCAGCAGCAGGAGCCCGTTCCTGGGTATGTGATACAGCTGCTTCAGCAGCAGGCAGCACAGAGAGGAGCCTCCGTCGACCCGCAAGTGTTGGCGCAGCTATACACGCAGTACTATCAATCCTTCTTGAGTTCAATCTCTAACTCTTCTAGCGGCCAGCAAGTTACTCAGGACCAGCTCATGCAGTACTTGCAGCAGGTGCAGCAGCAGCAGCCAATGCATTGACGTGCTGTTCGACTCGCGGGAAAAGCACAGATACCACTTTGCTGGCCAACAGAATCACGAGTGAAAAAACTGCTCGTGTTTGGCACTACAAATTGCGTAATACAGGAAGTGGATGGAGGTCTTGTGGCATGAAACCCGTGTTGCATGATCTGTTTCTCTTAGCATAGATATATTTGGTTTGATTGAACCGCGAACCGAACAGGCTTTTTTTTCTTTGCAGCAGTTATGTTGCTCCCCATTCTTGCATATCGGATTTATTTCTTATCCTTCGCGCTTGTGGATGCCGGTGAAAGCCAAGGCGAGGCACGGCCTATGTGCGAGACAGCTCATTGGCCAGTAGGCAGCACATGATTTGCGCAATACAGTACTTGGTCAGATATGTATTTTTTTAATTGAGCTAGGGCAAAGTTGCAAGGTTGCTGGGTCTTCGTTCCTTTTCATCCCTGTTGCCATCGCTTGTCTTGTTTTGGCGAGACAGAACCGTCGGCCCGGTGCGATGCAGGGGGCATTACCTAACCATGTGTATGGTTGTGCACAGGACATAGTTCGTGTGATGGCACATTTGTGAATACCAGTGCAGTAAAAGTCGACAGGACAACACAGGGAGGGGAAAGCTCATTTCGTAGCTGACGTTCCAGTTCTATGAACATCTCAGACCTTTTCTTGGTTGTACTAACTGGAAGGGGTTTTCTGAATCCGTAGAGAGAGCGGAGGCAGAGGCAAGAGACAGGAGGGCACAGGGGAAAGGGTACAACAGCCCGTAAGTCCTGAGGCCATCGTATTACGGTAGATCACGGCACCAAGAAGGTCGTCAATAAAGCTAGTCACTCCACTGCAGTGCTATGGAAAAAGGACGCAAGGAGAAAGGACTGCTTGTACCAACTTGTCTGGTCTGCCGAGTGAGAGAGCTATCTTATCATATACTGTTCGTCCGCCTATGCGCTGACTATTATGATAACGTGCCGATTAATATGCCTCATTAGTCTATTTACAAGCTTATAGAAAGAGGAGGCAGAGGAAGAGCGGGAAAGAGTCCTTTTTCGTCGGTTGCCAAGCCCTGTCCCAGTGTGCACGTGGTGCAAGCTCACGGCAAAAGGCAAGGACAGGGAGCAGCTTTGTTTGCTCGATAAAGGAAGGCCACCCCGTAAATAATATATGCTGGGAAAGGACCCAAGCAACCGCCCAGCAGGGTGCGATGCGGTTGATTCGATGGTCCTCATCAGGCTAGGGCGTCCCCTGCATGGTGCAGGGTGCACACTCGTTGCGCTGCACTACGCTGCAGGGGCACGGGAGGAATCTGTCGCATTTTGTTGTAAGAATCCTCACGAACTTTGTTTCTCTTGTACCGGAGACATTTAGTCTGCGAGGCGAGCCAGCAGCAGATTCGCGGCGTCTACCACGTCCTGGTCGCGGCACTGCGACTGCAGCGTACAAGTACGGCAGCAGCGAAAGGCAAACCATAAGGCACAGTACACCTGAGAAGGATGATTGCAGGTGCTTTGAGTTGTTTTCTAGTGACTCTACTGGCACCACTTCGCTACTGGTATATACTTGAAGCCATTCCCCACACACAGGAGGGGAAGAAAAGGCAAACATGGGCCATCCGTGTAGCAATGCCACTAGGCATTGGCTCCCAAAAAGGGAAGGAGGCAAACAAACAAGGCACATACAGCATAAAGGCCAATGGAGGTTAAGGGGCAGGCGCAGCGGTGGATAGTATGTGGCGGAGCTCACCTCCTGAAGTTTCTTGAGTTTTGGTATGGCTCCAGCAGCTTTGACTGCCTGCACGAACTCCGGAAGTTCTTCATTTTCGTTCCCCACCAAATCTTCCAAGTGATATATTGCCTCCAGCTGTGTGTACACATTGGTGGCGTTGGGGGGGCTGAACATGTTGGCACAACGGATACCAGAACAATCCGGCCAACGTCTATGAATGAGTTCCCCCGAGCGGAACGCGCGCTTTGTTTCTTATGCCGATTGTGCTTCTTTAGCTGAGCAGAGTATGTAGGGCAGAGACATGAGGCGTTGTGACCACAATAACTGTTGCTCGGGAGATTCGCATGAATCTTACATTTCGAGAAATCGCACAAGCTGTGCGATGCCTCCGCCTTTCATAAATGTGCGGCGGTACTTGATATCTGCGGACAGAACCAGAATGCACAGTAAATTCCATTAACTAAACCTCTGACGAACTGGTGATACTGTTATTCTTTCGGTCAAGGACATGGTCCCCCATCCCCTCTATGATCTAAAGCAGCGGCGCTGCCTCCCATTACTATAAGACGAACGCCTAGCCCTGAAATGTGAATTAAGCAAAAAACCTGCTGGATATTTCTGTGCGTAGATTTGTCATCCAGTTTGGGGTTCAGGGTTTGCGTTTACCGAGTACGTAAATGTTGCGTGCCGTTTGTGCGCAAGCTGCGCGCATTCCCTCAATGTCAGACTTCATTCCCTGGATTAAGTAGGGCATCGCCCCCGCATTGAACATTGCAATGCAATTCTGGGGATCTAAAAGATTGACACGCAAAGATACAGCAGACGATATCTTAACGCAAAACTGAGCAGGAAAGCTGCTTTATGGTTCCCCTTTCGAAAGGAGCCATAATGGGTAGAGGCAGTGCCGCAGGTTGTGCTAGTATGGATGTCACGTTATATCAAAGCGGAGCTACGGAGGTAGGGCTTACTATCCACTGAGAGAAAGGAAAGCGCGACCACTGCTGAATGTTTTCTGTCCAACTCCTAAGGCACAAGCACAAAAAGCAAAGTAGACGATACAAAACAGGCTCCAGATTTAAAAATAGCCGGAAAGTGAGTATTGTAAAGCTCGGTCTGTTTGATCCACGAAAAAAGTCAGCAGCATCACGGGGGATGGCATTTCACGCGCTTTACGTCATGCATACGAAATTAAAGAAATGGCTACTGCTGAGCCACTCGTTTGAGACACATAATTTAAGTCCTTGGCTGCACTTCTCATTTATAGCCATACACAATAGTTATGTTCAGGGCTAGTTGGGCACCTGAACGCCCTAGGAACGTCAATTGCTAGACAAGAGAAAATATATTAAAGTACTCTCTGCATGCTTTCCAGTTTGCTCATGCATACTGGCGTGTAACGTTCTCTCCAAGCTGCAAAGCCGTTTACACTTCTGAATGCTTTGCCTGAAAGAATGCTAGCATGCACTACACAATTACTCAAATATGCACCTTGGACGCAAGGAGCTTGACAAGCACTTCGATTCCGCCTGCTTCTCGAATTTCGTCCTTCAGTTGTGGCTCCTCTACAACGCAAACAAACGCCAGGAATTTCTAGATGAAAAAGAAACGCCAACGAGCCTGAACTGTCCAAATATTTTGAGCCCTTCGAATTGCACGGAGCACTCCAACGTCTCTATGTTGACACAGCAGTCCAAACTCCTACTGTTTCACTTTAATCAAGCCAATCGTCTTACGACCCTTCATATGCTATTTGAGACGTGCAGAAACCGTGTGTACCTAAACTGGCTACGCATACATAAGATTATGACTCAAACATTCTTAGGTTGTTCCCGTGTTTATGAAGTCGCAGCTTGCTTCGGCTCATAAAGCCTGTATTGTGTGTGCTTGTTCGTTCATACGTTCGCGAGAGGCGAAGATGGCAAGCTGAGTAGCGGCGAGGGCTCCAATGGTCTCGGGGTCTGCGGCCCACGGGTGCATTCGCTCCTCTAGCTTTTCAATCTGAAGAAACACAGCAGACATAATTACGCAGGAGGGACGTCAAATTAAGAAAGTCGGATAACCTACGATACTGAATGAGCCACAAACCCAACCGCAAACAATTAGCAGGAATGACGGGACATTTTGCAGTAGCGCCGAAAAAAACAACGAAAAGGGTGCACAAATGCAATACCGAAGAACAGTGGAAGCATCAAAGTAGCCAATATCGGTGATAGAACGCATGGTGTGTGAATAGACGAAGTGATACCTCGCAAGTCGAATTGCAGAGGCGAACAAACTCTGGAATATCGTTGTTGTCATATGCCCTGTCGAATCGTACCACATCGTCCCCTACTAAACACACAACGCAAAACAAGACCTTTATACATATGTCCTGCGCTATGCGCTGCTGCTGTTGTTTTTTTGAGTTAAGAACGAGACAAGCAGCTATTCTTCAATTCTGCTTCCCCTTATATCTGCTTCTTATGAAACCGAGAAGTATGCCAATAGGAAGCTGGAAAAAGACGAGGCATCTTGAATGTACCACTTCCAAAAGACAGCATGTTTTTCAGCTTTCCACCGTATTCATTCTCCTGCGCTTTCCGCTTGTACGCAGTCTGCAGAGCAGATATAGTAAGGATAGAAACATACGCGTAAAGTATGAACAAGGATCATAGAAAAGGTCAGTCGCCGTTCGTGATACTTTTAATATCCTTAACACAAGTTTAACTTTAAATGTTTAAAAAACAACGCAATTTTCGTCCATTATACTACAGCCATTGACGAAACCATCTTACATCCCTCCCGGCGCAGCACTGGTTCCCCATTATCGACTAACAACGATTACGCGGATCCTGAGGACAGGAAAGAACGTCAATCAGAGAATCCACGAACACAGCAGTCTTTCTACATGCTGAGAAGCCTCTCTCTCAAAGCTAATGAAATAATGAAGGCAACCGATCCGGGGTTACACTAGAAGCTGGAAATAGAGCATGATAAAGCAGAATAAAAGCAATAAGTAGAGACGGCAATAAGCTTACCAACGCAATCCACAGCCATATAAGCGAGAGACACTACGAACAAGTAAATTACCAAGCAAGAGGGCTGAGAGGAGGAACCGCGGATCACAACCGATGCAGCATCCGAAAAATATTTTCTCGAAATGACGACAGTCTTACCTGAGTTTGCAGTTCCTTGGGGCAGCCCGGCAGCATCGTACCACGTGATGCTGCCCTTGTGCCACTTTCTCTGGGTGGCTTTCCCAGCTGCCTTTTAGAAAAGAATTATTTAGCTACGAGCCCAGCTGTTCCTCAAGTGAAAGGAGCTACTTGAGAACCTCTAAAAGCTTCGCTATGCCCTTGTAGCAACCCAGCTGGGTGCTGGTGGTAGTGAACGTTAATGTGAATGGAGATGACTGTTCACTCCAGATCAGATAGGGGCCCCCTAGTTCTCGGGTGGCCTGGAAGGAGCAATGACTCTTCGTGGTGTACGAGGTATATGCTGCCCTCTGTGATGTATATGGAGTCTGATGGCGCCTAGAAGAGGAACTGAATCCATGAAGTGATGCGATTCCACCGTTGAGGCTGGGCAGTAAAGGATCGATGTTACGGAGAAGCCATGAGCCCCGCACCCTGTTGCTCTCCTCAGCACACACTGAAGCCTCCTCAACTAAACGAAAAAGTAAAGGGGATTGCCCCACTGAGCCTCGAAGTCCAAACAAAAGCGTGAAATGCCCCCCGTGGTAGCGGATGACGGGAAGCGAGTGGGTGCCGACGGGCAGTCGAGCGGTTGCTGTTACAGCTTCTGCTGCCTCGGCCATAAAGCAGAAAGGTCTCTGCTAAAGTTGTCAACAAAGAGAAAATAAGATGCAAATATGAGCGCAAAATAAGAGAGAATAGAAGGGAAAAGGGCAGCGGTCCAAACCGCGGTCGTTAATGTATCGGGCCGACCAGCCATGGGTCAGCAGGGCTTAAGTTATGCAACACTTCGATATATTCACCTATTTGTATTTACGTGTGTGCATTGGTATTATTGGATTAAGAACAGCAGAACTTCGGGCGACTGGCATGCTATTTTCGCTGTATCTTCATCATTTACATCAGTGGTCGTGTTGCGCGTCGCGGATGGGCACTCACTGGTCAATGTGCTAATTTCTCACTATTTTCATTGAATCGGCTCAAGAATTTGCTTTGAGTTCAACAACACCATATCTGATCTCGCGCTTGAATACAAATCTGCAATGCAAGCTTCGTGCATACGCTCCTGCGTGTGTACGTCATCTGGTGCTGTCTCCGCTTTGCAGCTTTAGATACTCTCTCGGGCATCTTTCAGTAAAAATGAGTGCCAAATAGTGGCTAAGGCAACGTCCTTGCGGTTCACAGAAGTGCGTGTGAGGTTGGCGACGATCAATCAGGTGGCTTTGTGGTGGTGCACAACCAATTTGTCTCTTCACTGAAAGATGCATTTGAGAACTTAAAAGAAAAAACTAAACTTTTCACAGCTTCCAGTTTCGTCTTCACAATTTAATGAAAGGCTGTGGGTTCCTGATCACATTACAATCCTCAGCACCGCAGGTGAAAACGCATTCTTGAGCACGAACACTCATCTAACGAACTTTGTATTCTGCAACGTCAGATCCCTTTTTTGGTGAGCTGCCACTCTAGGACCTCCATGAGGGCCCCACAGCTAATTTAGCAGCATCACTACATCATGGAAATATGTTAGTCTTTGCTCTGATGAGGTTCCTCGACTCATTGCCTGCTGCAGCGGGCTAAGCTACACCTTGGTAGTCACACTGCACTAGTCGTGATTAGCCAAGAATTCGTGTAGAATTGACTAGTGGTTTGTTTACTTACATGGCTTATTATTGCAAAGTACTGTTGGCTGGGTGATATAAGGCGCAATGCTCTGTACCTGCGCGGTACACCCGATGTGTTACTACCCTTGACGGCACTTAGTGCCTAGTGGGTGCAATCACGAGCACCCTAGCTGTCCCTGTCTGCTCATGTCGAAGCCTTCAGAGGCGTAGAAAAGGAAAAGTGCTTGATTTTTAAAAAAGGGACTCAACTGCTTTTTATTGCGCTCGTTTTTGTAGTGAGTCAAGTGTCTACCAACGCATGGCACTGTTCGATGCAACTAGAACTTCCTTGTTCATACAACGGCTGGGAAAGCAGTGGTTTTTCCTGTATCCCTGCAACAGCTGTATAATGTTGCTCCACTTATTTGCTACTTCGATATTTTGATTCGCTGTAGCAACAGGCCAATCTGGGGCGGAAAGCCCCTGGCGATGGAATATAACGGTGAGACAACGACTGTTGGTGCGGCACAGGACCCTCTGTAAGTTTGTGCGAACTCAGCAGCTCTACAGCTTGGCAAACGGTATGACTTTTTAGCCAGTAAAGCGTTTATGAATGCATCGATGAAGTGATGTCGACCAGAAAAAGTATAATGGCCATAAGGGTGAGCAGCTAGTAGAAGATTCCACAGCAGTTTGGAACTTTACCGCAAACTGTACCTTCGTGATGATAAGAAACGAGCTCTCTTCGCGGTATGTTTGTTGGAGAGAGAAGCACTTTGACAGTGGGTCTATTAATGTATAAGGAGTCTTCTGGCTGCAGGGCTTACTGCAGCGCAAGCACTTGAAAAGCTGTCATGTACCGGTTGATACCGACAGCAGCTCAGCAACAAGGCGCCCGACAATTGGGAAAGCTGCATCAAGGAAAGTATCGGTAAATCGGTATGACGAGAAAAATGGAATGCTGGCTTGCAAAGCTACATTTCAGATGAACTTTCGGCCTCGGCACTGGTTTATTTTGAGTTAACACAAAGTGCCATGCCACTAGATGTAATAATGGGCAGATCCGCAGTCATTAGATCGCCAATAAGTGGGGTTTCTGCAAATGATGGGTTACTTGAGGCCGCAGGAACACTCAGCACAGCTTTCGTGTCCTTCGCCGATAAAAAATTGCTGGGTCGGGTATTAGAGCCTATAAACTTTGCAGTTATGTCGACTAGCTCTCGTATAGAGTTTAAGGTGGACAAAAAGGCCAGAGGAAATTCTTTTTACTAGGAAGCCCCAGACAACCCCCCAATAGCGCACCTGTTTCTATCTTGGGAGATAGGGTCAGATAGCCCTAAACTTCAAGCGTGTTCAACGAGCAAGAAAACTTGATTGACCAGGCTGCGTTCAACGGAACCAGGCTGATTGGCGAGCAAAGAAGGCGCATCAAGGTAACAGAGTGCATTCCATGCAGGCTACAGCGCAGTGAAGGAAGACATAGGAGATAAAGCCGTTATTGGGACCCACGGCTGGTCAGTTCTGCGCTGCTACAAGCTCGCATTGCCACTACATACTCACAAAAAATCAATTTCTCGGCTAGATGCTATTCCTCGTGCTTAATGATTTATAATACAACAGTACACTTGTCAACCCTTTACTCATCCGTATCCCTGGTCTGCATTGAAGACCCCGTGTCCTCTCCCTGCCTAAAACTGGTGGTTGGAGGTCAAGAGTCACATTAACAGCGGAGGGATTGGAAAACACAGAGTTGTGTATGTGCATGTATGCGCAAATCTCAAGAGAGGCAAGCAGAAGTGATGATGACCAGGGGTCAGCTGGTTTTTCGAGACTGGGAAGTCACTCCTGGTGGA